CATCCCAGCCCCGGGGCTGCCTGTCCGTCCCAGTGTCCCCGTCCCCTGGGGAGGTCTCTGCCTGTCCCCTGCCTGCGGAGCCGTGCCCCTCACCTGCTTCCTGTAGGGAGAGATGATGCCGATCTCCTTGGGCGAGACGCTGGGGCAGCTCCCCTTGCCCCGGCTCTGCAGCAGCTTCTTGAGGTAGTGGACCAGCACCTCGATCTCAGCCGTGTTGAAGAACGAGGGGCTCTTGGCCTCTCTCCGGTCTTCCCCACAAACCCCGTGGAAGATGATGGGGAAGCCCTGGGGGTGGAGAGCGTTGGGCTCTGCTCCACCTGTGGCTCCGGGCTCCCCCCAGGCCCCCTCCCTTCTGCCCCCCTCACTTTTTTGGGAAGCTCATCCCAGGCACAATACAGACTCCGGACATCGAGCTCGTCGCTCTCGCAGGCCTTCAGCTCGCTGTCGTAGAAGAGCTCGTTGGGGATCCTGAGGATAGCCTCGTGGGACCTGGCAGAGGCAGGACAGTGTCCAGCGTGGATGCTACACGGCCCCAGCACCATCCCGGGCACCGTGCATCCGGGATAGAGGGTGCAATCCCATCTCCCGCACCAGCCAGGGCACTACGAGCGCTGGGGAGCCAGAGCCCAGGGTGCACGCACAGATCCTGCACCAAGCCGGTGCATGCACCCCGTCCCTGCCTGCACCCGTCCCCATGCTGGCCTCGTCCCCACCTGTAGTTCCAGAGCAGTTTGGTGACGAACTGTGCGTCGTATCCTCCGCTCGACTTCTTGTACAGGGGGTTGTGCAGCATCAGCCTCTCCAGCAGCGAGGTGCCTGTGCCCAGCGAGACCCTGTGGCTCCCCGCAAGGCCACTCGGCCCCCAGGCGCCGGTAGCCCTCCCACCCCTCTCCCCGCTCACCCAAGCCATGCTCGATGGCCAGCGGTGACCTCAGGACAGGGCCCAGCTGCTGGGGGTCTCCTGCCAGCACCAGCTGCCCCCCGTTGGGGTTGGTCTTCTGGTCCATGGCAGTCAGGAGCCCTGGGCAGAGGGAGAGCTCAGCAGGGGACGGGGGGGTCCCCGGGCCATGCAGAGACGCTGGTCCCCAAGATGGCAGCCGGGCACCACTCACCTGCGATGGCGACCACGCTCTCCGGCTCTACTGCCTGGCCGCACTCGTCGATGAAGACGTGGGAGAAAAACCCTGGGGGGAAGTTGGCTGACACCAGCCTGGGGGAGAGGTGGAGTGAGGCCACCGTGGCATCCCTGCCCTGGCTGGCCATCCTTCCTCCCCTCACCCTCATCCTCCTGCAGAGGGGTCCCCCCTGCTGCCCACCCTCCTCCACACCCCCCACTGCACCCACTGGGGCTGCCCTCACAGCCTGCTTGCAGGGCAGCCCCTGGGTCCGCCCGCTGTGGGTGGGGTGGATAAGCCCAGGTCCTCCGACCTTCCCGCTGTCACCAGCGTGGTGATGAGGATCCGGTAGCACCCCAGGTGCTCCTTGCTTGGGTACACGTAGCAGCTCTGCTTGTCGTCCCAGTTGCAGCAGGGCTGAAACACAGGCGTTCGGTGGGATCCTGCTCTCCCCGGGGGCCACCAGCCCAGACGTGCTGTGGGGTGCCGGGATGGAGGGGCAGGGACCTACCCTGATATCAGCGGGCACCTCCTGGTAGCTCCTGGAGCTGGCCATGAGCCTGTAGATGTACCGGGGGGTGATGTCCTTGATGAGGCGCTGGCACAGCAGGTCTGCGGCACTGTTGGAAGGGGCGCAGGCCAAGATCCGGGCGTCCTTGAAGCACATCCATACCTAGGTGGGAGGAGGGGGTGACGACACTGAGCGCCGCGGGCCGGGGCGGGCAGCGATGCCCGGGGCTGGACCTGGGCACTGGCCACTC